GCACCTCCTACTTGGAGTTTGCATGTTCTCCCTGTGCCTGCGTGGGTTTCCTCCAGGTACTCCGGTTTCCTCCCACACTCCAAAGACATGCTGGTAGGTGAATCGAGACAGAAATGAAACGAGCGCTGGACAAAATACAGAAAGCGACATGCATGAAAGGCAAACACCAAATGCCTCTAATAGTAAATATGAACAGAACATGCAGCGCTGTTGAAAATCAATCATACATGTAGAAAATAATACATTGTAAGAAGAGTGATAAGGCGACCGCTGCTAAATAATGGCCCATCAAAATGTTCATAAATTGCAATGACATAAATATCTCCAATGAGAGTGTTCTTATGGTGCACAGTGCACAATATCACAATGAAGTGGTGAACAAATGGGTGACTTCCGTGACCATATTCCTCCCACCGAAATGAGTGTAGATTGCACTAACCAGAAAGCGCAATAGAAATGCGCATTTGAGTATTAACCAACTCCTGGTCATCCGTCTATTTAAGCTGGATCACTGGGAGGGTCATCAGGCTAGCGTCCGCTGTGCAGAATATCCTAACCACAGGATCTCCAGATGTCAGAGGGTGTACACTCGTCTCACCAGCAGGGGGAGATTAATCGTTCCCAATGTGGCCACCAGATGGTCCCCAAACAAACCTTGAAATAGGGGGGGGGGCTCGCAAAAAACGAGCCAGAGCGACAAGAAGATCCAATAGTGTAGTACTTTTATTAGCCACAAGAGTAAAAGAACAAAACAGTAGATATGCTACTCACATGATATAGTAAGCAGCTGTGTATGGGGAATACCAGGAATCATCAAAAGAAGGCAATGGGGGCCGTGCGGTGTGACGTCACAGAGTATGAGGCAATCGCGGGGCAACTCAAATGCGCATTTCTATTGCGCTTTCTGGTTAGTGCAATCTACACTCATTTCGGTGGGAGGAATATGGTCACGGAAGTCACCCATTTGTTCACCACTTCATGCTGGTAGGTGAATTGGTTCCTGTCTAAATTGTCTCTAGTATGTGTATGTATGAATGTGAGTTAGGGACCTTAGATTGTACGCCCCTTGGGGTTAGGGACTGATGGGAATGTACAATATATATGTAAAGCGTAAATTGACAGCACTGTATAAGTACCTGAAATAAATAAATAAATGAGTCCTGGCAGGGATTCTGCAAGTACCATTGGAAGTCCTAGCAGGGATTCTGTGAGTACCATGGGAAGTCCTGCAGGGTGATTCTACAAGTGTCATTGGAAGTCCTGGCAGGTATTCTACAAGTACCATTGGAAGTCCTAGAAGGGATTCTGTGAGTACCATTGGAAGTCATGGCAGGGATTCTGCAAGTACCATTGGAAGTCCTGGCTGGGATTCTGTGAGTACCATTGGAAGTCCTGGCAGGTATTCTACAAGTACCATTTGAAGTCCTGGCTGTGATTCTGTGAGTACCAGGTGAAGTCCTGGCTGGGATTCTACAACTACCATTTGAAGTCCTGGCAAGGATTCTACAAGTACTATTGGAAGTCCTGGCAGGGATTCTGTGAGAACCATTGTAAGTCCTGGAACGGATTCTGTGATTATCACTGGAAAGAATACATTTAAAGTGGAGCCTTTGGTATAGGGCACTAGGAAGTGGGTGGGGGGGTGGACTCAAAGGTGCTCAGAAGTGGGTAAGGGACAAAGGCGAGTGCCTGCAGCAAAAAAAAAACCCTTGCATACATCGGTCAGTAAGTGGTTCTTTGCTGTGAAGCGTTATGGTTGGTTGAAATTAACCGCTTCCCGACCGCCCTATAGCAGAAATACCACTACAGGGCAGCACGAGTGCGCAAAATCACATATATATATATATATATATATATATATATATATATGTGTGTGATTTTGCATTTCCAGGTAGGGTGCCCTACCCGCACCGCCATTCATGGCAATTACTCGCTGGCGCCCGGTGATTTCCAACAATCAGCGACGGGGAGGAAGACTTTTTTGTTTACTAACAGTCCTCCTTCCTGTCGGCTCGGGCACACTGCACAGCATAGCCATCCCGATCAGTGTGATTACAGTGAAGCACCAACACACAGCCCCCTAGTAAAACACTCCCAGCACACAGTTAACCCTTTGATCGCCCCTCATGTTAACCCCTTTCTGCCAAGTGCCATTAGGACAGTGTCAGTGCTTTTATTTAGCACTGATCACTGTATTGGTGTCACTGGTGATGTCCGTGACTCCAAGTCAGTCCCCCCCCCCCCGTCAGAATGTTTGCCGCAGTCCTGCTATAAGTCTTTCACGTAAACCAATTTATTTACACTTATATGGATTTTTTTTAGCAAAGACACGGAGCAGAATACATTTTGGCCTAAATTTATTCATTTACAAATTTATGAATTTATTTCCAGGGAGCGTGCGGCACCGAGACACCGATCACTGTATGGGACCTCTGTGTGAGGTCCCGATCATGTGATCACTGATTGGCCAATCAGTGATCACATGAAAAGTAGTAAGCAAGATGTCAGTTCTGACATCATTGCTTATTACGTGTGAAATCTGTGAATGATCACCAAGATCACATGGTACAGGGCTATTCACAACAGCCTTGTACCACATGACAAGTTGTGACCAATCACGGCCCACACAGTATTTCTTAATGGCTGCAAGAATGCAGCCAGAGAAAAGGAGAAATGATTGCTTTTACAGCCTTTATGGCTGTAAAAGCAATCAGTGTAAAAAAAAAAACATCTCCATCACAAGTAGCACAGTGTCACTGGTGACACTGTACTGCTAGGGTGAACAGTGTAAAAAAAAAAACAAAACATAATAATATAAAAAAATTAAATATAAATGTAAAAACAAATTTTTTTAATTATAATTTTTGGTTACAAACTAATTTGGGTTTTTTTTTTTTTTTTTTTTTACTAAAAATATAACCGCATAAATTTTGGCCAAGATTTATGAAGAAAGATTATTTATTTGCAAAATTTTATAAGAAAACACTTTTTTTTAATTTTTTGGACATTTTCATTTATAAAACGAAAAAAAAAAAAAAATCCCAGTGGTAAATAAATACCACCAAAATAAGGTTTTATCTGTCTAAAAAAAATGGTAAAAAAATTCATATGGTACAGTGTTGCATGACCGCGCAATTGTCATTCAAAGTGTTATAGCAAAAAGTTAAAAATATTGTTTTTTCTCAAAATTGTTTTTTTTTTTTTAAAGCGCAACAAAAATAAAAACACAGGCGATCAAATACCACCGAAAGAAAGCTCAATTCGTGTGGAAAAAGGATGAAAACTTAATTTGGGTGCAGCGTTGCATGACCGCGCCATTGTCAAAGTAACGCAGCGCCGTAACGCAAACAATGGCCTGGTCATAAGGGGGGGGGGGGGGCAAGTGGTTAATAAAATAATAAAGATTTCCACAATTCAGCACCATAAAGTTTCTATTTATTAATTTAAATTAAATAAAAATTAGACCAAATCAATGAATTGTAGAAAAAAGTGATGCTCTAAATTGTTATTTTTTTCCCTCCCCTTTGCCAAGACAACAATCAGCACTCAGTAAGGGAAGATAAACATTTCTGCAGAACATTGTAAAATATGAGCCCCTCGAGACCCCGGAGCCCCAACCCCCAATCCCCCCCCCCTCCCGAAGAAGACCGCATCAACAAAAACCCGCACCTGTTCTACAGATTGTGTTTGCAGACGCGAGCGAGGTGGTAGCGCCAGAGGCAACTAAGCGCAAAGTACACACCGCCACTAATTATCTTTTTTTTTTTTGGAGGAGAGGCAGCCAGAAGACAGGTGGCCTCCTGCGTTAAATAATGCATGGGAAATGTTCCTCCCGCGTTGGCACTGCCTCTTTCGACATGATCGCAGCAGACAGCTTTTTGTCTCAACATCTGTCCGGCGTAATTTTAGGAAGCTCACAAGCTGACACGAGCCGTTTTTTCGGCTGGAATAACAGAGCTGATTGCACAGGCGAGGGTCACGTAGGAGCTCTCGGATGGCCGCGCCATGAAACATTAAAAATCTGTAGATTTCTCGAGTTCGGCGAGTGCAGCTCAACCGCAAAACGTCATTTCTGAGTAATGGGAGTTTTGTCGAAATTTAGGGGCCTAGCCACTGGCCCAGAGCTTCCTATGGTAACCCGCAGCCCTGGGCTGGTGACTGGGGCCCCTAAATTAGAGGTTATCTATAAACTACGTTTCAGATTTTCCTATCCCTTTGCAGCCACCTCTGCATAGAAGCAGAGGCGGACTGACAACTCATGGGGCCCCCGGCAACATGGGGCCCCTGTGTCCTTGCCCACACTCAAAGCACACCCAAAAAAGGGTACCAAGCAGGGGCGGACTGACAACTCATGGGCCCCCGGGCAATAGGGGATCATGGGGCCCCTGTGTCCTTGCCCACACTCAAAGCACACCCAAAAAAGCCTATAAAAGGTACCAAGCAGGGGCGGACTGACTACTCATGGGGCCCCCGGGCAATAGGGATCATGGGGCCCCTGTGTCCTTGCCCATACTCAAAGCACACCCAAAAAAGCCTATAAAAGGTACCAAGCAGGGGCGGACTGACTACTCATGGGGCCCCCGGGCAATAGGGGATCATGGGGCCCCTGTGTCCTTGCCCACACTCAAAGCACACCCAAAAAAGCCTATAAAAGGTACCAAGCAGGGGCGGACTGACTACTCATGGGGCCCCTGGGCAATAGGGGATCATGGGGCCCCTGTGTCCTTGCCCACACTCAAACTGACCCAAAAAAGCCTATAAAAGGTACCAAGCAGGGGCGGACTGACAACTCATGGGGCCCCTGGGCAATAGGGGATCATGGGGCCCCTGTGTCCTTGCCCACACTCAAAGCACACCCAAAAAAGCCTATAAAAGGTACCAAGCAGGGGCGGACTGACTACTCATGGGCCCCTGGGCAATAGGGGATCATGGGGTCCCTGTGTCCTTGCCCACACTCAAAAAAGCCTATGAAAAAGGTACCTGAGGCATCTCATGGGGACCCCTACTGACCCCGGGCCCTCAGGCAGTGCCCGAGTTTCCAAATGGTCAGTCCGCCCCTGCATAGAAGCCAACTGTCCTGAATTTTTCGGGACAGTCCCACACCTTGGCCATCTGTCCTACTCACGCTATGTCCCAAGCCATGTCCTGGGATCACAAGCATCATTTTTAATTTCTGCACATGTAATACTTGTGGGGATCAGGACAGCAAGTAACTGTTGATCACATATTTAGAGGCAGGGTCTGGGCGGGACCAACCCTTAAAGTGGATGTGATGTGTGGTCTCTGCCAGAGGCGGACTGATAACTCATAGGGCCCCTGGGCAATATGGGATCATGGGGCCCCTGTGTCCTCCCCCACACTCAAACCACACCCAAAAAAGCCTATGAAAGGTACTAGGGGCATCTCATGGGGCCCCCTACTGACCCTGGACCCTCAGGCAGTGCCCGAGTTCCCGAATGGTCAGTCCGCCCCTAGTCCCTGCATATTTAGAGTTGGACGGGACCAACCCATGAGGAAGGACACGGCTTTGGCATGCCTACCCTTACAATGGGTTGATAAAATGCAGACCGTGGCTGGGGTTGAAAAATTATCTTGGGTTGTAGGACCATCTTTTTCATGAGCATGCCCCATTTTGTTCTGCAAGGGAACTATGGGGGGAGGGGGTGCAGAGAATGTTGAGAGGAGTCACAGGACACTTTACAGTTCAGGAAACATGAATGCATCACTACTCTCTCTTCATGGGTGGTCAATACAGTTAAAAAGTCCTTAAAAAACTGATGACATCCTATAAATATACACTCAATGACCACTTTATTAGGTACACCTGTTCAATGGCTTGGTAGCACAAAAATTGCTAATCAGCCAATCACATGGCAGCAACTCAATGCATTTAGCCATCTAGACGTGGTGAAGACGACTTGCTGAAGTTCAAACCGAGCATCAGAATGTGGAAGAAAGGGGATTTAAGTGACTTTGACAGTGCCATGGTCTGAGTATTTCAAAAACTGCTGATCTACTGGGATTTTAATGCACAACCATCTGTGAGGTTCACAGAGAATGGTCCAAAAAAGAGAAAATATTCAGTGAGCGGCAATTGTGTGGAGGAAAATGCTTTGTTGATGTCAGAGGTCAGAGGAGAATGGGCAGACTGGTTGCTGCAACATTCAGATGGTAGGGTCAGAATTTGGCAGAGACCACATGAAAGCATGGATCCATCCTGCCTTGTATCAAGGGTTCAGGCTGGTTGTGGTGGTGTCATGGTGTGGTGGATCCATCCTGCCTTGTACCAACGGTTCAGGTTGGTGGTGGTGGTGTCATAATGTGGTGGATCCATCCTGCCTTGTACCAAAGGTTCAGGCTGGTAGTGGTGGTTTCATGGTGTGGTGGATCCATCCTGCCTTTTATCAATGGTTCAGGGTGGTGGTGGTGGTGTCATGGTGTGGTGGATCCATCCTGCCTTGTGTCAGCGGTTCAGGCTGGTGGTGGTGGTGGTCATGGTGTGGTGGATGCATCATGCCTTGTATCATCGGTTCAGGCAGGTGGTGGTGGTGTCATGGTGTGGTGGATCCATCATGCCTTGTATCATCGGTTCAGGCTGGTGGCGGTGGTGTCATGGAGTGGTGGATCCATCCTGCCTTTTATCAACGGTTCAGGCTGGTGGTGTCATGGTGTGGTGGATACATTCTGCCTTGTATCAACAGTTTCAGGCTGGTGGTGGTGGTGGTGTCATGATGTGGGGGATCCATCCTGCCTTGTATCAATGGTTCAGGCTGGTGGTGGTGTGGTGTCATGGTGTGGTGGAATCATCCTGCCTTGTATCAACGTTCAGGCTGGTGGTGGTGGTGGTGTCATGATGTGGTGGAATCATCCTGCCTTGTATCAACGTTCAGGCTGGTAGTGGTGGTGTCATGGTGTGGTGGAATCATCCTGCCTTGTATCAACGGTTCAGGCTGGTGGTGGTGTCATGGTGTGGTGGAATCATCCTGCCTTGTATCATCGGTTCAGGCTGGTAGTGGTGGTGTCATGGTGTGGTGGATCCATCCTGCCTTGTATCAATGGTTCAGGCTGGTGGTGTCATGGTGTGGTGGATCCATGATGCCTTACCACGCATGCGCAGTGGGCACCCGGCTATGAAGCCACAAGCTGTGCCCACACTGAAGATGCAAGTGCCGGGAACACAGGGCGGCCGGTGAAAGGGGCTGCGAGGATGACACCGCAAAATCGAGGGACAGGTGAGTGTCCGTTTTTTTTTAAAAGTCAGCGATACAGTTTTTGTAGCTGCTGACTTTTTTTTTTTTTTTAATTTATTACTTTCACTGGAATTCGTCTTTCAGCTTTACTTTCTGTGTTTCCCCTTTAGTCCCCCAGTAATGGAATCAATGGAGGGACAGGGTTTGAAAAGCAACCCACAGGCGAAGCTCGATCGCTTTCGGAAAGGGCGACAAAGCGTTTCTTCCCAGAATTCCTTGCAACCAGGATGGTTATCCGGAAACTTTCCGAAGTCAATTGTTCTTTTTTTTTTTTCCTCGCCGGTTATTATTCCTGAAAGGCTAAATAGCTGAAGTTGCCGGTGACATCTATCACCTGAATTATACAGCGTTTTATTTAATTAAACGGATCAATGGCGTGCCGCGTGTAAAATCATTATAATCCAGTCAGGAAAGTAAAGAATTGAAAGGCTAGAGGACAAGGAGAAAATTAGCGCAGAACAATTAGACCTGACAAATCTTTAATGGGACTTTGAAGGCCGGCTGCCGCCTTCTCTCCTGCCGCAGGTTCACCTGAAGACGCAAATTCGGCGTTTCTCACCGGAAACAATGGGGGGAACGGGGAACCGGGGGGGGGGGGGGGAATGGGGAAGGAGGAGGGGGGTGTGAAATGATTTATGATAATTTGTTGGTACAAAAGAACATTCCAGGTGGAAAGAAGAAGTCGACGGAATTTAGAGCTTAAGGAAAATAAATTGATGTCACCAGACAAAGGAAGGCCCGTCTCTTCCCACCACACACAGATAATAACTCACATTTTATTCATTTATCTGCTCTTTTATGTCTTCCAAACTTGTTCACAGCATTACATTAAGATGGAAAATGGACGGGTATTTACAAGTGTTTTTGTGAATGGTCGGCGGTGGAGAACGGGATGGATTATGGGCCCAGTGTGTCATGGATAACTTATTTTCAATTGGGTATAATTCCTCCCACTGACACCAACAATGGGACACTATTCCTCACAATGACACCAACAATGGGACACTAATTTCCTCCCACTATAAATAATATATATATTCCTCATACTGTATATTGACCCAGGGGCGGGACACTGACAAACTCATGGGGCCCCCAGGCAAACAATGGGACACTATTCCTCCCACTGATCATGGGGACCCCCCACTGTGGGACACTATTCCTCCCACTGACACCAACGATGGGACACTATTCCTCCCACTGACACCAACAATGGGACACTATTCCTCCCACTGACACCAATGATGGGACATCCTCCCACTGACACCAACAATGGGACACTATTCCTCCCACTGACACCAACAATGACCCTCCCACTGCCCAACGGGCACTATGCCTCCCAGACACCAACAATGGGACACTTTCCAACACCAATGGTCATCCTCCCACTGACACCAACAATGGGATATTGACTCACACTACACTATTCCTCCCACTTTACCAATGATTCAATATATCCCACTGAAAACAATGGGACACTATTCCTCACAATGACACCAAGGACAGAGCAACAGACCTCCCACTGACACCAACAGTGCGGCCCTGTTCCTCCAACTGATGGCGTACGTAGAAAGTCTGTCCAACCAGTCCTGAGATTCGCACAGCTCTACCACATAGCACAGCCCCATCTGGCACGGAGAGAGAGACCTGAATATTCTCTACTGCGATTCACTAACACTAGGTCTTGTCCCTCCCCCAGGCTGTGATTGGATGGTGAAAGGAGAAGCAGCAGACTGATGTGCTCATTTCCCTGTTCCCTACCTCCTGTCAGCTTGTCCCTTCCCACATGGAAGAAAAATATATTTTAAATATTTTTTAAATATTCTTCCCAAATATATACATATATTTGAAATACTACAATTTTGGCCATATTCAATATATATATATATATATATATATAATAAAAAATATCTATATATATTCATATATAAATATATATTAATTTTGTATATATATATACATATATATATATATATATACTGTATATTGACCAGGGGCGGACTGACAACTCATGGGGCCCCCAGGCAATAGGGGATCATGGGGCCCCTGTGTCCTTACCCAAACTCAAAAAAGCCTATGAAAAAGGTACCAGGGGCATCTCATGGGGTCCCCTACTGACCCCGAGCCCTCGGGCAGTGCTAGAGTTTCCAAATGGTCAGTCCGCCCCTGATATTGACATACTACAATGTTTTCCGTATTCAATATATTAAAAAAAAATTATATATACAATATATATATATATATAAATATATATATATATATACACACACAAAATGAATATATATTATATATTATATGTATATTATTATTATATATATATATTTATATATTCATTTTGTGTGTGTATATATATATATATATATATATATAATATATATATATATATATTTTTTTTTTTTTTGTTTAATATATTGAATATGGACAAAATTGTAGTATTTCAAATATATGTCAATATATTTGGGAAGATATTTAAAAAATTTATTTAAAATATACTTTTCTTCCATGTGGGATACATTCATGTACTGCATGTTGAAATGCTTTTTTTATATATTACAAAATACATGAAAAATATTTTTTTAAATTTAATAAAAATATTTTTCATATATTTTGTAATAAAAACACATTTCAACATACAGTATATATATATATATATCTCTGTAGATAGGGCCCGTCTCTGCAGCATGCTGGCAGAGGACAGGCTTTTTACTCATGCTGTGGATACTTTCTAAAAAAAAAAAAAGTTCTGATGTGCCTGGAATGTATTTAGCTAATTTAAACTTGCCCTCCTGAGGATTCCCCCCCCCCCCCCCCCTGACCAGGCAATTTTTGGCATTGCGGTGCTGCATTACTTTAACTGACAATTGTGCGGTCATGCAACACTGCACTCGAATGAAATTTACGTTCTTTTTCGACACAAATTTAGCTTTTTTTTTCG